TTAATGTAAACAATTATTTCCGAGGCACACGTTTATATGATCATTAAAGTTATAACAAAATAAGAGAATAAATGAAAAACAGGTATGAAATACTACAGTATACAGTATGACAGTAAAACAAGAATAAAGTTTAAAAGGGTGATTTATAAAATATCCATAAAGAAAAAGTAAATCTGCTTACAGTTCTGTTTCAAATGGGTGTTGAGAGAGGTATCCATAGATCTCTTCATTTTGCTCTCAAAGTGCACCAGATTGATGCATTTAACTTCAATATTTAAAAATATATCTTCCGGGGGAGCTTGCCCCCGGACCCCCCTATGTCAGGTCCACACACCATCTATAAAAATAGCACTTTACCCCTGCTTACACCTATATGCCTCGAGCCTTCATTGTAACTGTCACACTGTGTATTTGCGTGGGGTTTGTTGCAGTAGAAAATTCCACTGTAGCGACCGGTACATTAATGGGAAACCCTAAATGTTTGAGCAGCCTCTATGAAACGTCAAGCTACCCCACAGCCCCCACAGAATAAAATGGTCTGGCGGCCGCCCCACGAGCCTGACTATTTGTGTTGGGGGGGCCCGACTTTTTTTTTCTCCAAAGGGGGGGCCTGAAAGAAAAAGTTTGAGAACCACTGGGTTAACACTCCAAAACATTGTACGTGATAGGCTAAGGGGCGGGACATCTCTAAGCGTTTGACCATTCACAACAGAGTCGACCAGCTAACCAATCAGAGCAGACTGGGCTCTGGTTTCAGACAGAGGGTGAAAAGAGGTGCTGCAGGACAGGCAGTATGAACTAAAAATGAGCAAAATATGCCCTTTTTAATAAAAAGAAACGTACAGAACCTCCTAAAAAGATAATTATCTCTAGTATCTCAAATCATCACGCAGTTGCAATATCAGCCAAAGTAATTGCAACTTGTTATTTTTTCCAAATCCTGCAGCCCTCTTCAAAAGGGCTTTCACTGGAGTCCTTCAACAAAAGTAACAACCTGAAAACCGCTTATATGGAAGTCAAGAGCATAACGAGTGATATGTTGTGTTGTGTGAACCTTTAATAAAGAGGCTGCTTTAATGGAAAGGTCTGCTGTTCATTCCACTCTGCGAGAGATATAGGGTTCTTCAGGCTGCAGTTGCTATCAAGATCAATTGATCTGATTGAAGCTCTCTTCCACTCGGCATCACCGCAGCGGAGGAACGTTTATAGTTTATTGAGACATTTAGTTTTCCTTTAATCTAATGTTCCTCCTCACAAGACGAGAGTTATGCAAAAGTTACAAAAGCCAATAAGATAACACGTAAACAAGCAGGAGTATTGTTTCCTTTGCCCCATTACTTCTCAGCCTGTTGACACAAGCAATGCCAATTAGCAACATTCTGAAATTACCTGCAAGAGGTACTGAGGGCCCATAAGAGAGTAGATTAAATATAAATATTCAGCTTCTTCATTTCCATAATGATTAGCTTTAGCACGGGATGCTCTCCGGGGGCTAACTTTAAATCACCCGTATTAGTGTATGTCTCTGTGGTGTTGTCTCGTACAAACAAGAGCCGGGAATTGTTTTAGAAGATTTAAAAGTGATTCAAGAAGAGTACACCGGTATAGTTTTCAATTTGATTAGCGCTTTGCAGAGATTAGCAGCTGTATCATCCTGGGAGGGCTAATGCAAAGCTCTCCTATCAGTCCAGGATTAGACACATAAACTGATATTTATGTATTCATTCAAAGATAATTATCGTGTCAAATAAATAAGTCTATGTAAATCTTTTTTAGATAACTAATCAAACCATTAACTCTATCTACAGGTACATTACTTCCATAGAGACGGGCAGCCAGCCGATCACCGACATCTTCCACTTTGTTGTTTACGATGGGGACAATAATCACCTCGACAACCAGATGTGCACCATCACCGTTACCTCCACGCCAAGACAGCCACCCGTGGTTACAGTCAACAGCGGCATCAAGGTACTCACACACTCACATACACACACTGAACACTGAACAAAGCACAGAGGAACACGCTCTCACATTGGCACCCTTTAAAAGTTATCCTAATAAAAGATTACAATTATATGGCTGGTGTATAGTGAATTAACGGTTTTAAACACACATACTGCACACTGTTATTTCCTCTCCATTACCCTGCCAGCTCATAAGAGACTGAAACCCTCAAATACGTTTTTAGTTATTTTCACAGCAGCTGCCACATTCAGAAAGAGTCATTAACGGGACAAATGAAGCAAAGGAAACCGTCGCACACTGTCCTGTTTGGTCCCTCAGATAACAACCTCTAGTGACAGTGGTGGAATGTAATTAAGAACATGTACTTAATTCACTTTTTAGCAACTTACAGGCTTTTATGCTTCACTACAATTATCTGATAGCTTTAGTCACTTCACACTTCAAGATGTTGTCATCCAAAACAAATGCAGAGCTTTTAAAATGTGTTCTGTTGTAGTTGACTCATCAATAGCCGATGGACAGAAAAAGTGGTACTGGTTCCAGCTTCAAATCTTTGCTTTTAAAGGTGCTTTTGGGGGTTTTCCCTGACCTGTGGTGTGTTATATCGTTTCTGTGCATGTAAATGGTCTGCAAAGGCTAAAATCCCAAAGTTCCATCCAGAGGGAGTTAGTCTCCCACACTCTCCCCCCCTTGCAACGCCTCCATTGGAATCCTTTGTTTTCTTCCATGACAAAATGACATCACTATTTAAAACCAGCGCTTTTATTGGCTAGCGCTCCAAAACATTATACGTGATGTGCAAAGGGGCAAAATATTATGACACATCTCTTATCGGTTGACCAAATACAACAGAGCTGGCCAGTTAACCAATCAGAGCAGACTGGGCTCTGGTTTCAGACAGAGGGTGAAAAGAGGTGCTGCAGCACAGGCAGTATGAGAAAGATAAAGAGCTTTTTGAGCATTAAAGCATGGAAACATGTCACAGACTAAGCACAAAATTCTGTGTGAATATAAACCTGAAATTGGCATTATATGTCCTCTTTAATAATGTCAAATAGTAATAACGTTAAAGTGTTGACTTTTTGTTGTAAAAACAACTTGATGGTGTAACTTTTGACTGAATTGTTCAATATTTTTACAAATTGCACCAACTATAATAAGAAAATAATCAGCAGATTCATTCTAAATGAAAATAAACGTTAGTTGGCATTTCTGTGCCTTTTATTATCAATAAAGGCGTTATTGTGTTTGCATTTTCTTCCTAGTCCTAGTTAACTATTCCCAGGAAGTATATGTCCTTCAACATTCCATTCTTTTCCTTTGGCAGTTAAAAAATGTGAAATATTTCTTGAAGAATGCACAACAGCACAGCGAGCCTGGCTCTAGCTGTGTGGGGGAACGTGGTAGAGGAGAAGGAGAATAAATGTCAGACCTAATGAGGGTCACACTGGTGCTCCCTCTGAGATGAGTCCTAAATAAGCACCGTAGAGCTGCCCGTCTTGAAAGATATGAAGTAAAATCTCAAAGGTCTTTACTTTAAAACCTCTTATTGGGTTAGCTGGAAGGTGTTCTTTTGTGGTTGTACACAGAGAAAAACACAAAAACATCTCGCTCTGGGAGAAAACTGCCTCAAAATACAGCACTAAGTGGAACTACTGCAGTGGAGTAATTTTGGCAAACTTAAAAAACAACATTGTGAAGGAGGAAGCAAGTTTCAAGCAGCATTTAATAATGTGCCCTGCTTTACCCGGTTCACATTTGTATGTTGTGCCTCTATTGTGACATGTTTACATGCTTCATAAAGCTTTTTATTTTTCTCATACTGCTTGTGCTGCAGCACCTCTTTCCGCCCTCTGTCTGAAACCAGACCCTGGATATGTTTGTGTTGTCTGCCATAATTAAACCTGACAACCGCAATCCTGCCAAGCGCTGCTACGAGGCAAATGTAATGACAGTCATATTGTTTTGTAGATAGGTAGTGATATTCTTTTAGTTTACAGATTCACACAGTCCAGGATTTATTGCCAGCGGTTGTTCTGCATTCAAGCTGTGTTTCCTTTTGCCTGGTATACTTTATAGCCTTAGAATTAGAATTTGTATGATGTTATTTTAAAAATCAGTGCGTCCGTCTTTTGACTTTGATTGGTTTTCTGCACAAGTTACCATGGAGATCTACCCTTGTAAGAAGTGAACCACCATCGTAGGACTGAAAATTAACCCTGGACTTTCCTCCCTTTCCAAAAATCCTGCCTCATGGTACAGGCCACAGGAACAACTTATTTTTTGAGTTTTTTGTTGTCTAGGTCCAGGAAGGCGGCCGAGTGGCGCTGTCTACCAATAACATCCTAGTGTCAGACCTGGACACACCCAGGAAGGACCTGCTGGTTTGGATCATCAGTCCTCCAAAGTACGGCTTCATTGAAAACACCAACAGAGGTGAGGCCTTCCTGTATGTATGTGTGTTTTTGTTTAGTAGCATTGTGAGGAGCTAGGACGTTGTTTCTTTCCTCCCCCATGTGCTCCATGTAAAGTTACAAACCAGAACATGAGCAGACGTACAGTATGTGCATGCATGACCACAGGTGACACAGTGCTACTCCTGTGTGCATGTACATGGTCTCACCTGCACCCCCCTCGGAATTATTTTCACATTTCTATTTACGTCACACTCGTACGCACACAATCCCGGGTTGAATTCCGTGCGGTGACGCTGCCATCTATCGCAGTGTGATGATGTTGTGGATTAGGACACAGCTGCAGATGGAGCCATTGTTGAAGCCCCAATTATTTGACTCCTCTGAATTGCTGCTGTACTTTACTATGTCCCCCAGAGAGACTGTTGGAAAAGGTGAGATGATTTGATAAGGAGCTTATCCCACCTGGGTAACTGTAAGAGCAGAATAAAGTCATAAACCAAATCAAACCCAAGAATATGCTCATATTTAGAAAAATTCTTGCTTTCAAGGGGCACACTAATAATAAATGTGTTTGAGTTGCATCATGGGAAATGTAGGATCCTGTTAAGCAATGATTTGGACTCCAATGCATGACTCAACACAAAAGTACAGAAACAAACGTCTTTACTTAATTAGGGAAATAAATAAACAATAAAAATGACTCTTTTGGATTCTTGGCAAAGGCAGAAAAGGTGACTGTAACTTAACACGTGAACAAAACATCTACACACGTACTATACAATAAACAGACAACATAAACCTAATAACTAACCAACTTATCAAGAGCAGACAATAACTAGACATGGCAAAAATGTGAAACCGTGATGTTACAGATCCAATGTCTTAGGGCAGGGTTCTTTTCAATAAATAAATCAACACAGCACTTGGGGAGTCCTCTGCACATTTGAAGAAAATGAATATAATTAAAAACGGCCCACTTTGAAATAAATAAAACATGTAGCTGCACCTTAAAAAGAGTTAGGTGATTAAATTATGACTGAAGATCGTCAGCTGTCTTCCTCTTCCTTGTTTTCCCTCCAATATGTAAAGACTGCTGCACCTTTGAAATCTTCTCCACACATCAAACATCCCGGTAAGCCAGTATCGTTTGCTGTGAAAGCATATAACTCTGTCCACGTAGAATTAAACCCTCTGTGTTCCTCCGATACTTTTCTTTTCTTTGATTTATTCATAGTTCGCTCAGAGCGAACTATGAATAAATCAAAGAAAAGAAAAGTATCGGAGGAACACAGAGGGTTTAATTCTACGTGGACAGAGTTATATGCTTTCACAGCAAACGATNACACAACACACCTACGCCATGATTACATTCAGGCACACTGTAGAATACAACCTCTTTGGACAATTTATATACTTATTGAAAACAAGCTACAAAATGTAATACCTTGGAAAATGCCGTTTAATACTTTTTAATAGCCTTCATTTTTGCTAAATTGATTTATTAACTTTTAATACTTTTACCCTGTTATACTTTACACATGCTCAAAGACTTACAGTATGCATACAGATCACACACACACACACACACGATCACACACACACACACACACACACACACACACACACACACACACACACACACACACACACACACACACACACACACACACACACACACACACACACACACACACACAGCTCACTGACAGCCTCATCAATTCAACTCAAGACGTTAAGCAGCCTTCAGTGATTGATATGGATGCTGAGTGTGTTTAGGTGCAGGTCAAGGGTAGTGGTCCATTTTGAAGTTACTGGTCCGTAAAGCTGAAAAGTCCCAGCTAAACACAGCTCAAAGTGTTCCTGATGACACAGAGCAGCTATCGTATCCATGGTGTTTTGGTCCTTAGGGTTTACATTTTTAAAGCTAATAAATTAAGAAGAATCTTTTGCTTTTCTAACTTTCACTTTTACTAAAAACTCCATATGGCAGAACTTTGTCTAATAAAATCTCATTTTATATATTTTACTTTCACAGTCAACATGATAATGGTATTCCAGTGTATGGAGTATTTCGAGATATTTGGGACTGATGGAGCTGCTGAAGAAAATGTCAGCAGCTCAATACAATGTGCTTTCTTCCTGTTAGATGTGTACAGACAATGTGTATGATTTGATGGGTGAAGATGTGAAACGTAAAGAAAAAAAGTTTGGCATGATGGATGGTGTTGAAGACCAAGTCTGTAACCAGGTGATGTCAAACTGAAAATGTATATATAACTTACATAAACTACTAAAATGTCAATAAGATGTGGCTCAAAAAGCATACTTGCTCCAATATTTCAAGAGCTATGGAACTTAGTTACCTGGATGTCAATTTCGACGTTGAAAGCCTCCGTCTGGCTATGTCCATCGCTGATGTAGAAGCTGAACACGTCCTGTTTAGCCGGAGCTTTTTTCTGGCTGTCCTGGACGTAGAAGATGTGGTCAGCCGTCAGGTCCTCCACAGAGAAGGGGACATCGGGGGTGATGGCACTCGAGCCGCCAATTGAGCCTCCTGGTGGACGGAAGAACAGAGACAGAAGAAGAAGAATACTTTATTAATCCCACAGGGGAAGTACAAATTAGTCACAATTAAAGTACATGAATGCACAAACGATATTAGACCTGAAGTACATGCGTACGCATTAAGGGAGAGGTGTCAAAACGAAAGGGCTGCCATAGTTCAGAGCCCGTGAGCAGTGTGAGGGTAGGCTGTGAACTTAAAAAAAAGGTTAACATATATATTATATATATTTTTTCTGTTCAACCAGTGACCCTCAGGTTTCCAAGGCACTAAAGACTGAGCTACAACCTGAAGAACAAGTGACTCTCATAACTTATCTCCAGTCCATTCCATTTTAGGGATTTTTCTAAAAAAGGTTTAACATACCATTTTCGTCCTTGTGGAGACTTGAACCAATGACCATCAGATTCCTAACCCCTAGGGACTGACCTACAGCCTGAAGAACAAGTGACTCTCTTAACTTATCTCCAGACAATTACATTCTAGGGAACAATTTCTTTAAAAAAAAGTTCTAAGACTTTGTCACTGCTTATTATGAAACTCTCCCTTCGTCTTGTATCTTCAGGTATAGCGTCACATGACAGTAGTGCTTTGAACAGAAACACAGACCTCTCCAGCCTCTCAGGCGTCCAGTTACAGAGCCATCACTTATTGCTTCTGACAGCGGGGATGACAGCAAACCTTGTCGCGTGTCCCCAAACAGCCTTTTTATTTCCCTTAAGTCACATTTGTCTGGCAGTTTGGCTACGGGATAGATGCGCTGAGGCCATTTTACAGTTACCGTCTATTCTGCGACTTCGTGGCAGCAGAGGAGAGTCGCAGCGAAAGTGCAAAATCAACCTTGAGATATCTGAAGTTGGAGACAAAGTGTGAGTGTCTTTGTCAAAGGAGACAGATGACTCCGCAGTGAGCTGAGTCAGGGCTCCGCAGGGAATAGCTGATGTGAGTACGTGTACTTGTTTGTGTAATTCAGGCAGAAGGGTAAATCACATCGCATCTCCATCATCTGGCTGTTATAAGGTGAGGGAAGAGAGCCTCTTATCAGGATGGGATAATTATCTTGATTTGAAATATAAACAACAGGATATCTCAGAAATGTGAAGAAAAGGGGTGTGAGTGAAATCCAAAAAACTGATTTTTGTACCTTTAAATATTTCTGAGACTTTGAATGTTTTCAGAAGCTTTAAAGGAAGCAACTGGAAAATGGGTGTTTTGAAAAATGTTTTAAAGACAACAAAAATACAAATGAACACTATACCGGTGTATACAAATGTTTCATTTTCGAACCCTTGTAGATGTACATTTATCCTCTGACGAACATGAATTGACTGAGCTAATTGCAAATACAATTATGCGATATCTGGATTTGGCCTTGGTTAATTAACTTTGATATTTCAGGCCCAATCCCAAACCACTCCCTCGACCCTACCCCTCCGTGACGGAGTGAACTCCGTTTGTAGCCACACTCGCAGCTCAACGAGGCTCCCTCCTGTCAGATGGAGGGAGTAAATACAGCGGCAAGCTTTGGGACGGACTCCCCTTTCTCCGGCACAAACAGGAAATGCCGTAACTGTATGTAACAGCGGTTTTCAAATCAGCATCTCAGACAAAAAAGGTAAATTAATAACTCAAATAAAACTCCAAACATATTTCATTGTGTTACTTTTTTGTAAAGCTCTTTTAGTTTTAAACCTGATGTTTATCGCAGTTTATCAGTGGATGTTTGCTGGAACTACTTGTAAACAGCGTGCTTCCTGACGGATGCACACAGCGTGACTCTGGTCAGGTAGAGACCGGTCTCAAGTCAGCACCGCTGCAGACTCGCTGTTTGAGGGCTTGATAGCCCACTCCACCTCCACACCGCTCCACACTCGTTGGTTTGGAACAGCCCTCAATATGGCGGACCCTCCGCGTGAACGCGCAAACGGAGAGGTAGGGTGTAGGGGTAGGGTGTAGGGGGCGGTTTGGGAATGGGCCTCCATAAAAGTCTAGCTTGTACCTTTGATACCCCGCCTCCGACTCCCATCTCTCGGCACCACACTATGCCACCATTTTAGATGCGGATTTTGTTAAACTAATACGTTTGCGCTGTGGACCAACACTATACATTGACGGGGAAGGGGGTAGCAATAAAGATAACACCATTTTACACAACATAACAGAAATAATATCGATAGCAGCGTCCCTAGCAACCACCTTGGTAACAATGAAAACGTTGTATAGACACAATTTCCTGAAGTAATCTTCGTAATAACTAGCCAACTAAAGATCATGTACATCCACTGCACACATAATCTGAAATAATAACTCATATTTCTCGCATCAAATGACATAAAAACGGATTGTTATGGCCAAACTAACTTTAAAATAGGCATTTTACACCGAGAATAAAACGAAGTTCGGCCATGTTTTTTTTTTCTGCAGGGGAGAAATTTGGAAGATCACGTGACATAGACGTCAGGCCATTGGAATGAATGGTGAAGAAAAAAAAAGTAGGGATCTTACAACTTCAGAGGCGTTTTTGTAGAAATACTACGTCCTACGTTGTGGACCAACTTAGTTATTACACGTTTTTTTTATGAGACTGGTTTGACATAGACCAATGACAACCAAAAACATTTACGTTTTTTGTCTGTAGGAATTTAAATTCAAGTTCAAATGAAATCTGGAAAATCATAGCAGCATTCGGTTCAAACTCTAAGAAACACAATGTGTAAGCTCTAATACTTTCGGGGGATTTTGCCATTGTTGAACAGAGGCGTGAAACCTCCTGCTGAGCATCACTAAAGTTAATACTAGTATAAAACAGTAAACGTTATCAGCTTCAAAAGGCAGACAGCAGTTACTACAGAAACAGGTTCAAAGCTCAAGGCTACTTACCACAGTGTGATACACATGATAAAAGATTAAATGTGTAATTTTCATGCCTTTTTTATAAGCAAAACGTGTAAAATAACACCAGATCCCTTGCTTTGGACGGTCCAGAACAAATCTAATATTTAGATTCTACTTTGTTTAATAAAGTTAATTATAAAGATGTTTTCAAATACAGGAAATATGAAAATAACTACAAGCTAATTCTAGCTTTGACTGTATGCTCTCTAACCCAATTTAACCAGAGTTTATATTGTATTTGTGGCTGTTGCTAATGTAAATGTTGAGGTTCATATCTTAACTGACACATTTCTATAGTATAATATTCTTTATATGGTCAAATGGATGTAATACAGTCAGATTCTGATTTTAATCCAACTTTGACTAAATATTTAGTTAGTGATGTGTCTGTAGTGTACTCACCAGTGTTTGCAGAGTCCTGCTGTGTTGTTGATAAAAAGCTGCTGGATTCAGTTGAGTGTTTCTTCAGAGAAACAGAGACTTGTCTCGGCTGCTGCTCTGCTGTCGCTCAGACAAACTTCAGCTTTCATTTCTGGGAAATTGAAACTCTTATCTTACAGTGTGGTCCCACCTCTCAGTGGCAGTTTGCCAAGAGGAAGTGGAGGAAGAACTGTTGAGGCTTGTTATTTAACTTTGTGACGATGCATTTTACAGCTGATCCAAGAGGCTTTTCAAATAGTGTATTGAGCATAAGTAGGAGTATTTTCTCAATACATAAAGGACATCTCTTTACACATCTGGAGATTTATAGCTATATTTCACAACGCTGTGTTATGGTCCCTGTTTAAGAGCAGCTGGTGAAACATTTCCTCCTCCCTGAACAGACTGTTTGAAAATGGGTCACGTGATTGTTGACTCACATTCAGGTCAGACTTTAGTTTATATTAAAACCAGATTCATTTTTATTCACCTGTAGTTTTGGGTTTGTTGGACAAACTACAGCTTTAACGTGTGTCAGATGAACTGATGTTGATTCTGTTCCGTTGTATTCTTTGATATGTAGTTAAATCAAATGTATTATTTATGTTGCAATATATCAAAATGTATCCTAGGAACTTAAATATAATAATAACAACAATAATAATGATGTGTTCCTGTCCTCCTTCAGTCTCTGCAGTGCTGCCGGCAGTCATGTTCACGTACAGAACGACCGGCTAAACGGCGGCCACCATGCGGAAACATCTGGAAAGGATCCGTTTCCGGGGCCAGAGACGGGACGAGTTCCCGGATCTGGCCGATTCTCCCAACACCTCCGACACAGAGAGCAACGAGGAGGTCGTGAGCAGACCTCGAGTCTCCGCCAGAGATTCAGAGGAGCTGAGGGAGGCGGAGGGGGAGCAGAGTGACGCTCAGGTACACAAACACACACAATATCAACCAGGAGTTTAGAAAGAAACTTGTTTTTCTGACCCTGAACTTTAAAGAGGTGTATATCAGTAGTGTCTCTATTTTAAAGAGCTCTGAAAACTCGGGAGGTTAAAACAGACAGACAGTTTGGACGTCTCCCCTCAATGTCAAACTGACCACCTGACTCCTTAAAAACACATCTGACGGGTGTAAACATCTCTGGAAAAAAACAACTCCTCTGTTCAGACTGTCTTCAGGTGACTTCAGGTCAAACCCCCCCAAAGCCTCTGATGATTTCCACTTGTTTGGACTTTGTTTTCAGGACGTTTGAGCGTTGGTCCATTTCAATCGGTTTAAGTGAACTGCTGGCAAGAGGCTCACAGGAAGTGTTTGTCCTTTTCTTTCTAACTGAGCTTCCTTTCATTTGTTAAAGAGTCCTCTCCTGCTGATGTTCAGGT